GTTTCGAGTTACGTCGTTCCCGATTATACGTCGCTTGTTAAAAAAGTATATGGAAAAATAAAAATCAAGTTTAAGTCATTTTATTCGACTTTACGTCTGTCCGCCACAAATATTGAAGTCGTAATATCACTAGATAAACGTTTAAAGCACATAAAATCATATTAAAATATATACAAGTATGTACTGTATTTACAGTACACGCATTTGTAAATTTAGATTATTTTTTTTGTACTATATTAAAAACTAAAATTTATTTGTTTGTAAGCTTAAAATAGATTTTTATTAACCATATATCATTTAAAATGCTTTCCTAGTGATAAGTAGATTCGGAGACAGGTAAATTCGACTTACGTCGTTTTTCGACTTACGTCGTTTTCCTGGAACCAATTACCAACGTAAGGCGAGGTATACCTGTATATTATAAAAATAGCAGATTGTCATTGGCAATGGCAAAAGAGTGGAAACATCATTCGCACTTGTTCGCAGAAAGTCCATTGTTTGCCTCACGTAACTGCCAAACAGAAAGTCTGTTGTTCACAGCATCCATTGTTCGAAGCGTACATTATACGAGGCGCCACTGTATTTTTAATTTACTTAATTTAAAATATATGATGAAAACTCTACCTCAAATTAGTAATGTCTTGCCCCTGTACATCATACTTTTCCTGTTAGAATAGTGATGCAAGTCATCTATCTAACTCCTTTTAGGAGAAAATTTTTAAATTAAAATAACATGACTTCTGGTTTGCATTGAAAATTTGTATATAGTTAATCAGGGTCTCTTGCCCCTAAGATTTCCACATCTGGTCACAGCTTTCAACTATTTAACTCTGTTCTCAAGATTAAGGAAAGACGAACAGACAGATGGATGACTGGGAATTTATAGATCTACAGTTCTTTTTAAATTGCAGCCCAAAAATTTGATAAATATTGTTAACAGTTCTTAGTAATAAATTCTTAGTGATGAATTGATTTAAATGTAGTTACATTGTAATTTTGAAAAATTAGTAATTGTATGTTTATATATAAATAATGTTGTTATTATTATTCTTAATACAATTAAAAGATTTAAAAAGCAAATTACTAGAAGGAAAATATCATACTTATCATTTATATAAGGTAATAAACAAACAGTAATAATTACAGTTTTGTTATTAAAATAATATCTAATAATTATGTTGTTTTAACATAATTTATATAATAAAATTTATATTCATATTTTTATTTATTAATTAATAAAA